GATGTGTATAAGAGAAAGGAATGATTTCAAAAGTTTAATAGTGTTTTACTGTATGTTTGAGCCGTAAAAAATTTTTTATTAATAAACAATATGTTCTTTAATAAATATATAATAGGACGTCTTGATAACGTCGCGCCGCTGGAGTTGGTACAATCCAAGCCGTAATTTTCGTTTGAAATGAAGAAACCGAATTTTTTCTTAATTTCTATAAAATTATCTTCTATATGAACTAACAATATTACCACAAAAAAATTAAATTAAACAATTTTTTTTACAAAAATGGATTCAAATTTTTTCATGAAAATTTTCATTTTTTTTTTAATTGTCATAACTTATCTAATTTTTGAAATTTCTAAAGTTTTGTTAGTTTATATAGAAGATAATTTTATAAAAATTAAGAAAAAAATTTAGTTTTCTTGTTTCAGACAAAAATTACGCCTCCTAGATTGTATATTTACAATTGAATAACCCCAGCGGCGCGACGTTATTGAGACGTTCTATTATTTAATAGAAAAACATATTATTTATTAATAAAAAAATTTATTTACTGCTTAAATATACAATAAAACACTGGTAAACTTTTGAAATTATTTACTTTTATTTTAGTTGAAAAAAAAATCTTAAATTCACAGTTTTTTTTAGGGTTGTAAAGCAGAATCCAGCTTAAATATTAAACAAGGACAAACATTGCTCACGAATACTATGAAAGCGTGAATCGAACCGCAGCCCAATTTACCAATCATATTAATAAATAGATATTGATTAAAATTTGAATTTTTGTCGTTTCGCTAAAAAATTATTATTAAGTCATATACAGGGTCTCATTTTTAACAATCCTCCAAAATTTTTCTTTGTTTTCAATTTCGTTTTAGAGAAAAGATAGTCGATTTTTGGAAAAATTGACTTTTTAAAGTCACGTGAATGTCCATTAATTTCTTAAATAAACCATTAATTTTTTAAATAAAATGCCCTATTTTTGATAGCAGCTTTTTGATACAACTGACATCGTCACCTTTCCAAAATGATAAAATTAAATTCTTTTCTTAAGAATTTCCTGATTTATGAACTTTTAAAATTAATTAATGGTGCAGAGTTTCATGTGACTTTGAAAAATCGATTTTTTTCGAAAATTGATTTTACTATTTATTATTTGTAAATTAATTAATTAATTGATTATTTGTTTCTCAAACCGTACAACACTTTTCTCTAAAATTAAAAACAAAGAAAATTTTTGGGGAATAATCGTTTAAAATGGGACACCCTGTAAGTTTTTTTAAATTTAGATTTTAGAACACGTTTTAAGCACGTGATAAAATATTATGAAATATAATGATTATACGTATTCTGTAGACTGAATTTTTTTTTCAGAGTTATTTCGTGACCGATTATGACCCAACGATCGAGGATTCTTACACGAAGCAGTGCGTTATCGACGATGTGCCAGCCAAACTCGACAGTAAGTGAAGAATAAATCAATTTACATTTAATTTAAGATCCACCTTTTTTTTGCTCGTATCGATTTTCAATCGAATAAAATCCACGCTCGTTAAAGAATGAACTCGACGATTTCCCGGTTTGTTCGCTTGATCGGAATCCGATTTGATCAAGAATTGGAATACGTCCTATCGAAATTTATGTTTGCGTTGCAGTATTGGACACTGCCGGCCAGGAGGAATTTAGCGCGATGCGCGAACAATACATGAGAAGCGGCGAGGGGTTCCTCCTCGTGTTTGCCGTCACCGATCACTCGTCCTTCGACGAGATACTGAAGTTCCACAGGCAAATACTTCGGGTGAAGGATCGAGATGAGTTTCCTATGCTGATGGTTGGAAATAAGGCGGATCTGGACCACCAGAGGAGTGTGAGTATAATCGTCAAGCGAATAAGCAGCTTAAATCCTTGCCCAGTTTGCTTCTTTCCGCGGAGAACAGTAACTGTAACTATAAAAAAAACCTTTCCTCCGTAATTCTTCCATTTTTGAATCTTCATTTTAGGTATCGATCGAGGAGGCACAAAATTTGGCGCGTCAGTTGAAGATTCCGTACATCGAGTGTAGCGCTAAATTACGGATGAACGTCGATCAGGCTTTCCACGAGCTGGTGCGAATAGTCAGAAAGTTTCAGCTGTCGGAACGGCCGCCGTTGAAACCGAATAACAAGACGAACAAGAAGAAGTGTTGCATGCTGTAATGACAAAATTATTTATCCCGACGGACGATTTATTCATACTGATCAGACCGTATTTTTGGTGAGTGAGTTCCGATTCGGCGAGGAAAAAAAAAAGGTATAAATTTAAAATGGCGCAAAAAACAGTTCCAAACTTTTGATATCTCTGTCGGAAATAATTTACACTTTCGCGAAAGGAGAAAAACTTTTTGCGCGTTTACAATTTGAAACGATACGGATTTCGATATACTGATTACGCAAATCAAATGTCAATTTCCGGCCACGTTCAACTGATAACGATTACCGCAGACGTGTTTTTTCTAATTAATACGCCTAGAAGGCGTAACGTTTTACCAACGATTATCATCGACACTCGACATCGTCGTTTCGTGACGATAACGATAACGATGATTAATTACAATATGACAGTAAAATAACTCTTTTAACTGCCATTGTGTTTTCTGTTAAATTTGTAATATATAGACAGGGTGGGAAAAATCGGGAAAACCTGGAATTCTCAGGGAATTTCATTTTTACCCTTGAAAATCATGGATTCTCATGAAATTTTACTGATACTCAGGCAAATTTTTTGAATTTTACTTTTAAATTTAATTTTATCCCTTTAAAAAGTAAACCTGGCCTCATATCGAAGGTCCTTGATATTGAAAGTTAATTTGTTTTAAAATTGACTATATAAAGACTCTTAAATTTAAAAAACGATAATCCGGAAATAATAAATCAGGCATTAAGAGTCTAATAACGCAGATCTTGGTGCGTGAGACAATTTAATCTTCACATATGTAGTTATATCTCCATGCAAAATCTTTTGTTACGTTCGAAAAATTCTGTAAGAGATGTAACTATTGTACACATGAGAAGATTAAATGGTTTCACGCATCAAGTTCTATACGTTATTAAAACTCTTAGTGTCTAATTTATTTTAAAGCTGTATGGAAAAATTCTCTAATCTTACCTGGAATTTTGAATAAAATTCCCGGAAAATCCGGGAATTCTCAGGGAATTCTTTTACAAAATTTGAGTACCCACCCTGATAGAGTTTAATGAAGAGTCATTCTTTCTTCTATGCACAGCAGGTCAATTTTCGTTTCGCATAAATATTAGACGCAATAGCCCAGTGATACAAATACAAACAAAACTATTTTTGTAATAAATTTACAAGGAAAACACAGTCTACAAAATACTGTTGCTGAGCAAAAATTTCAAACAAAGTCTACAGTTGTTGTCTGTAACGCGATGTGATTGCTTAAGGTGTTTACTGTTTATATAGCTATGATACAATTGGATTTGACAGTGAACAACCGCATACGGATCCACAGAGTCCGAGAATGTTGACAGTCTTGCTTCTGTATTCGCTGTTTATCTTCTGGTATATAATAATGATCTCGTGTTGCAGCGAAACATAATTGAGAGTTGAGACGGATAGAAAAACAGGTTTTTACTTTATAACGACATATAAGTTCGTGTCGACAATATTGTATGACCAACAGTGTGAAATATAAAGGGAATGTTTCGTGTATACTAAGAAACAAGATAATTACGATTACGAAATGCAGAATAAAGCTTTTGCTTTTCATCTCCCATTTTTAAATACTTTAGATAGAGATATTAGTTTGAAACACTTTACTTTTATTTACACGTATGATCGAAAAAAATATCTGCTGGCAATATATATATATATATACAGGGCTGGGCAAAATACACCATTAAAGTATTTAAAATACAAAATACAAAATACTAGGAATCTTAGTATTTGAATTACAAAATATAAAATACTTTCAATCTTTTGATTTGAAATACAAAATACACAATACTTTCAATCTTTCGATTTGAAATACAAAATACAAAATATTTTTATGTGATCCGTT